GGCCTGAGAGATTATCTCCTTCCCCAGATTGGGGAAGTTTTCAGTAATTAACTCTTCAATGACACTTTCTATCCCTTTTTCTCTCTCTTCTTCTTCTGGCACCCCTATAATATGAATATTGTTCCGTTTGGATTGGTCACACATTTCTCTCAATATTCTTTCATTCTTAGAGATTCTTTTTTCTCTTTGTGCCTCAGCTTCTTTGTATTCCTCTTCTCTAATTTCTATTCCATTTACTATCTCTTCTACTACATCTAATCTGCTTTTCAGTCTGTCCATTGTATGTTTCATTTCAGATATGGAATTTCTTAATGGTTGAATCTCTAACTTAAATTCATTCCTGAGTTCTTGAATATTTTTCTGTACCTCCATAAGCATGTTTATGATTTTTATTTTGAACTCTCTTTCAGGCAGATTGGTGAGTTCAGTTTCATTAGGCCCATTTTCTGGGGTTTGTGAGATTTTGGTCTGAACCGTGTTCTTTTGGTGTTTCATATTTCTGTGTGGTGCCCACCATTGCCCAGAAGCTCCAGTCTCTGGAGCTGCTCAGCCCCTGGAGTGAGGTTGGGGGCCATAGTGGAGTGGAGCTGGTGCCTGGGGGGAGGAGAGATCTGTTTCCTGATTTCCATCTGCAGTGCCTGTGGCAAGTATCAGAGCCAGTGGTCCAAGCACACAGGTGTAATAAGCCTCTGTGCTTTGTGTCTATAGCTGTTTTAGGCTTAGCCGCCTTCTGGCTGGTCTGACACCAGTGCAGTGATTGCCGGTTTGCTAACCAGAGCAGGCAGGCCAGGAGGAAGGCGCAGCAGGCTCCGTGTTACAGTGGGGGGCCTCAGAAGTGAGTAGGCAGCCAGGGGGATGTAGTGCCTGAAGCTCCTCAAAGTTTCCAACCAGCTGGGCAGAGCATGCCTAGACAACCTTGTCCAGCTCTCCCCTCCCCCGTGCAGTAAGCTCCGTGCAAACTCTGCTCCTTCAGCAGCCCTTTCGCTGCTAGGAAGCCTCTCAAACTGCCTGCCCTTCCTTTGTCCCAAGTGGCCGGGTGTGGATCCTCTCCTCCACAAATGGCTGCAATGTGTCTCTCAAGCACTCCACCTGTCTGAGCTCCCCAACGTCCAGAGCACCACACTGTAGATTTCTGCTCCCAAAGCAGACCTCCAGAGCTCAGTGTTCAGCAGTTCTAGGCTTCCACCCCCTCCCCCGCTCCATTTCTCTTCCTCCCACCGGTGAGCTGGGGTGGGGGAAGGGCTTGGGTCCCACCTGATGAAGGCTTTCCTACATTACCCTGTGTTCATGAGGTCTTCTCTGTTCCTGAAGTCTGCATGCAGTCTGGTTCAGCCTTCTTTCTTGTTGCTGTTTTAGGGTAAGTTGTAGCAATTAACTATATTTTCATACTATTTGTGATTTTGGGAGGAATTCTCTGACTCACCTCTCATGCCACCATCTTGAATCCTCCTTCAATAGAGTTTTAAGAATTGAAGGAGAGCATCCTAATTTCTAGTCAGGGCTGTTCTGTGCCATTCAGAAAGAAGCAGTATACCTCTATGTTAAATACATAGCAATATCTTACTTTTAGGGTCAGAAAAATGCTTGGTCAAAGATATAATTTAGGGAGCTTTTTTCCTTTTTTTACAGTTTTAGGTGTGACTGGGATCTTGGATTCAGGATTTGCATACTATCCTCTACACCTACTTATTATGTGATTTAGGCAAATTATTCAAAGTGAGGACTATAATAGGTTAATAGTAAGTGCCTCATGGAATTGTCATCAAAGGAGATAGTGCATCTGACATACTTAACTGTGTGTGGCCCATAGATCCATTTAATTAATATTGTCTCTTCTGAGTATATATCATGTGTTTATGTGAGTTTTTCTAACTTACCCTTTTATTTTAGTCTATATGAAGAATCTGCGGAAAATTTGCATCAGTTATCAGACAAACTTCCTGCTCCTGGTAATATCTTAAGACTGCTTTCAATAATTTGGATCTAATACTTTTTATGACTGAGTGCTAAATTCAGTCTTTATGCTACGGTTCTCCCTTTTAATTTGCAATTCAAAGTGAAAAATAATTTCTTAGTTGAGTTGATAAAAACTGTACTCTGGTATTACTGAGACATTACAGTTCTCTTTCATTTAGTGAAACAAAATTTAGGACTTGGAAAATTAAATACCCATCTCATATCCCTTACTTAGTTGTTACTGAAGAACAATCTTTCCACTATATACCATTGTTTTCACAGTATGTTCTATCAAACACAAGTCTAGAGTATATTCTATAGAACACTAACTTTCTTGGAATATTTTCATTATTGAATGTCATTTATTAAGCAGATATTTATTGTGTCTATTACATGTCATGGATTGTACTAGGAGCTGAGTATACAGTGATGAGTAAAGCGTATGTATTACCATAGAGTACTTTCTAGCTCACAGACTAATCTTTATATTCAAGATCATGTTTTAGTGTAAAACATTCCCACATGGAAAATAACAGATAAATAAACATCAGTTTTTAAATGAAATATGTCAAATTGAAAATATGCATTGAGATATACAGTTTCTCTTTGGGCAAATTAGAATACTTTGATCAACTTATTTGGTTTCTGTTTTTGATTTTTCTGGTTCTTCAGTACATTTGTAATTTTATAAAATTTAAAGTTTCATGAAGTTATCCTCTCTTAGGAACCAATGATGTTGTCAGTATAATTGAGTTTTCTGAGTGTTTTATTGTCCTTTATAAAGGGAAATAATTTTTTTGAACATTACAATTTCATACTAATTCATTCCCTTTTGTATAACAAAATTAAGTATAGAAAAATATAATGAAATTTCACAGGTGTTCTTTTCTCTGTTCAGTACAACAATAGCATTGATAATCTCAAGAGCAATGTGTATAATTAACCACTGGCATATAATTGGCATGTAATTATGATATAGTTCATTGTTTTCTGGCATATGCTAGCTATTTCAAGATTACATAACTAAATCATATGATGAGCATTTAAAAAGTTGAGCTTCTAAAGATGTGTATTGTTTTGAACAATTTCAGAAAGTAAAGTTAAAATCCTCCTTTATCTTCTAAATAAATATAAAATTCAATTGTTCATGGTACTGTTTTGAGAAATTTTGGAGCTAACATTTTATAAAAAAATTGCAAATGCCTTTTTCTCTTTTTAGGTAGAGCAATGATAGATATAATACTATTGCCTTCTGACAAAGATCCTCCTAAATTGAAAGACTGTTTACCCACAATAGGAGCATTAAAACATTTGAGGGAATGGTATTCAGCAAAAATTACTATAGCAGGAAATCATTGTGGAATGTAAGCTTCTTTGTTCACATTTGATTACTCTCTGTATTCTCTGTTTTTAACGATTAACATGGTACCCTGATTTAGTAGTCTCTGCATTTGAAGACCTTTTTTAGCATGACAAGATAGTTTTATGTCACACTGTGAATATTTACATACTGAGAAGAATCTAGATTTTTCTTTTTTCATATTTTATGTTTCTGAAATGTTCAAGGTTTTAGTAACTATTATCCATGCTATTTTATAACCGTTACTGAGCATTAATTATCCAAACTCCCTGTATGCTTTAAGTAGGTTTGTATTATCTATTGAGCACCTTGGTGAATACCATGGATATATGGACACATTGAATTTATAAAGTCATGGTTGTTTTCTTGTTTTATGTTTAATGCAGAAATAATATATACTGTTGTGTTTTATGACATTTTAGTAAGGATCATTTGTATGTTACGGTCTTGTTCCTTAAATAAGTATTCAATTAGATTTATTAACTTCATGATTTTCCTCATTCAATAAGTGTTTATTGAGTACTAACTTTATATCAAGCACAGCAATAGATGCTGATGAATTAAGAAAGTGAGATTTGATCTTCATTGAAGTACAGGGAGATACTGGAATGCTAATAGTCATGGTAGTCTGTGATAAGTGCTGTTATGGAATTCTATACAGAGCTGTATGGGAACAATTTAGGAGACAGTTCTCCTTTTGAAGACCAGGAACCAACATTGATTCTGTGTGTGTGTATACATATCTGACACAGTTAAGTCAATAAATAGTAAGAGTAAAGCCTATTTCTTAATCTGTAATGTTAAGTGTAGTTACACTTGATTCACAGGGTTGTTGGGATTAAATGATACCAACTCCCTCAGAGACTGACTTAAGAATGTTCCATGTTGCTAGTAAATAAAAGTAGCAATATAAGCTTTGCATTTTTGCCTGTTAGGCTTGGAGGTAGCTATAACCATTAAATCTAAGTAAAATGTAAAACTCTATATTTAACTATCATAATATTTTATTTATAGAAATTGTCAGAAAATTGCAGAATACCTTTCTGCTGATACTGTGTCTTTAGAAGATCTCAGAAATGCTGTTGACTCAAAGGAATTATGGAGAGGAAAGGTTCAGATATGGGAAAGAAAGGTAAGTGGATTTCTCAGTTATCACAGTTTGCAGGGCAGGCCTTTCAACTTTATTAAGTGAATCTTAATGAAAATATACCTAATAAAGATGTTCTATAATAGCTCGAAGTAGAAGTTTTTGAAATAAAGAAATATTCTATATCTGTGCTAATATAGTAGCCCACTAGCCTCTTATTGCCACTGATTGTATGTGACACTTTCAACTGAAGACTGAATTTTTAACTTTATTTTACTTTAATTAGTCTAAGTTTAAGTAGGCACTGTGATTATTTTTGGACACTGCAGTTCTAGAAAGTAACATTCTTTTAAAACATAAAATTTGGTGTTGGTTGTGTTCATGTTGTATATCCGAGCTGCTTTATCACCACATGTGTAAACTGTTGGAAAACTATTCAGATCCTGTTCTTTTATTTGTAATAGCACTTAAATGATGGCTGCTCTCTACTAACCAGCTCTCTGATTTTGAATAATTTTAACATTACTAGACCCTAGATTTCTTAACTGCAAGATAAGAATATTAGATTAGTTGAATCCCTCTAATCTTAAAGTTCTGTGAAACTCCAATTGTATTTTGTCATCTCTTACTATGAATGAATGTATTTGGATGGTTTTATAATTGTAGCTGTGTTGAAATACATGTTCCTAGTATTTTGTGTATTTCTGTATATAGGCAAAACTAAAAGAAGTTTCTTAATGTTTGATCAGGGTGGCATGAGAGCATGAGTAGAACCTTTCATTTGTATAAAGATTTATTGCACTAATTACCAGATCTCTTTTTCCTTTCAATTTACCTTTAATTATGGCTTAATAAAACCATTAATAGAAAAACAGGAATTAATGTGCCTGAGTCTTTTTTGTTGATTTGCATACTAGCTCATCTTTATCTGGGAAAGTTAAATCTGCCAGTAAACCTTCTCTACAAGTGGTTTGAATATAAACAAAACATATTGCCAGCTGGAAGAGTGCAAGATACCATTAGCTAGAAGAACTGCTTTTGTATACATTTTTTGAAACTACATTGTTCCAGGCAAATAATGCCAGAGTTGTTTTCATGTGATTCTTTTATTTTTTTATGAATGGAAAATGAAATATCCATCTCTCCACAGGATGCATTTAAAACTTGAAGTTACTTTTTTTTTGGTGGAGAATAGCTTTTAGCCTAGATACATTATGGTGATTAAGTACATAGATTCTAGAGTTAGACTGCTTGCATTCAAATCCCAACTCTTTCTTACTAGTTTTGTGTGTCTTCTTGCATAATAGTTAGCCCCTTGGTACCACAGTTGTCTTCATCTGCAAGGTAGGTGGAATAGTTCACATCTTAGATTTTTATGAGGTTTAATATTTTAAAGCACAAACTCACCACTCAATAAGCTATTGTTACCATTACTATTAGCACCACTACCATTACCACTAATGCAGGAATTGATGTTTTTATCAACAAACTTATACTGAAAGCAAACTGTGTGAGGTGCAATCCTAAGGAGCTAGTGGTGAATAAGGCTAACAAGTTCTGTTTTTGCAGAACTTATAGATTGGTAGGAAGTGAGATATTGAACAAGTATATGTAAAAGAGGTTGTTTGATTCTTTTGCATAGAATGGGCTTAATATATTCTTGTGGGCTGCTGAAGGACTAAGGAGAGCTTTTCATGAAAAATCCACATGTAAGTTGAAATAGAAAGCATATCTACATAAACAGAAAAAAACACAATTTGAGCTGAGGAATCAAAAATAAATTTACATGTAGTTTTCCTCTGAATTTTTACTTTGCAATAAGATGTATTAATCTTTATAAGTTTGTTCATGATGTCTGAGACTGTTTTCTTGGTTTCTTTTCAGTTTGGATTTGAAATTAGTTTTCCTGAATTTTGTTTAAAGGGAGTCACACCTAAGAATTTTAGTACATCTAATTTAAATACTGGTTTCCTTGCCAAAAAGATAATACCATCAAAGGATAAGAATGTTTTGCCAAAGGTAATCTATGTTTAAATTTTTTTGCAATCACCTATTCATGTATATTTTTGCTCCCAGGTTTGAATCTTGAATTAATATAATTTTTATTATAATTATTAACTGCTTAAATTATACTGTGTTATCAACACCAATGTTCACAAAGTAAGTGAATGTTGCTTTGGATTATTTTAAAAATGGAATGCAAACTTTAGATCACTGTAGGCCTGAAATTGCCTTTGGTTTGTACTTTGCTTTGTGACCTTTCTAAGGTTCAGTTTGGGGAGAATAAGATACAGTGGAAAGAGACCTAGGTTTGAAACCTGACTCTTGCCACCTATGAGGTTTTGTGACCTTGAGTAGATTGATTAGCTCATTTGTGAGATGCAGACAATAATAACACAAAGTTATTATGAGGGTTAAATGAGGTAAGAGATTAGCATCTGACACAGTACCCTGCATTTGCTTCATTTACAGCTTAAAAAGTGTTCATTCGTGTCCCATATCTCCATAGATTTAATCTTAAAATGCAAGTAATTATAAAGCATAGTAATTTAAAAGGGTTTGGTTGTCTTTTTATTTTTTACATTGGAAAAAAAAATTAAGAAGAGGTATTTACATGGAAGCACTTTAGAAATTCACTTTTAAAGACCCAATTCAAGAATGTGGGAAACATAATGATCACGAAGTTACAAGGATATCAGATTGATGGGAGGTATTTTTTGATCAAAGGATAGTACAAAAAAGGGGCATATTCTGATGTGAACACACTTCCCAGTAGTTGTTCCAAATTGCTTAGTTTGACTTACCTTGGCTGTCTTTCACAAGAATATTGAATTCTTTTCTAAAGATTATAATCATAAGATTGATGGCCTCAACTTCTCTTCTTTGGTAGTAAAACCATTCAAGTATGATTAATATGTCTATATTTTGCTGCTATTGGAGAGAATCTTAGGGTACAATCTCCTCAATAAATATAAAAATCCTGTCTCCACACACACACTTGTAAATACACACACATACAGACACATACTCATATATGGTGAAATTACTCAGCTTTCTGCAAGTTTAAAACCTGGTGTACTTTCCTCAAGAAATGTTCTCTTATTTTTAGCTTTCTTGTGAAGCTCTCTGGCCCCAGCTCTTGAAACACCTGTTCTTCACTAGCCCACTTCGAGTGAGCTTTATGCTCTGCCCAAAGAAACAGTGCAGTTTTGTGTCTCAGAGCTTTTTTCTTTGTTAATTAGCACTCCTGACTTTGCTAGTTCTCTCTTTTAAATTCTTCCGAGGATTTTTTTTTTCTCACCATTCCACTCAACCTAAGTTCATCCTGGAGTGTCTTTTCTTTCTCTTTCTCCGTCTTGCAGACCCTCTAAATTTGTTTCCTCAGCACCTAGCTTCTTGAGTCATCCCTCTGTATTGCTGAAGATAAACAGGAAAAGTTGAGAACTCCTGTCCTCTGTTCCTTGCTGCTCTCTGTACTCATTTTCTCCCTGTTAAAACTTTCCAGTTACTAAGAACTCTCTGTATCTGTCTCTCTTCTCTCAAAGGTAGAATTGAAATGGAAGAAATTCTTGTCTGCCCAAGAGGATTAAATGTTTGGCTTGCATCATGTGTAAATACTTGCTTTTTAAGATCCATTTTAAAGCTTTAAACCCTAATCACTAATTTGTTCACTTTAATGTTTTAGTAGTATTTAAAATATTATATAATTATAATTTCTTTTCTAGGTTTTCCATTATTATGGCTCTGCTTTAGAATTTGTACAGATGATAAAATTATCAGATCTACCCTCCTGCTATATGTCGGACATTGAATTTGAGTTGTATCCTTTCATTTACATGTTTGTTTTAGATTATTTTTTCTGTGTCAGGCAGAATGCTTCCTAGTACTACTCAACATTTAGATGTTTGACCATGCTGAGATTTTCTTTTGTTTTTTTATAATATTCAGTATACTTTTCATTGCCGTTGTATTAAGAGAAGTACTACGACTTGCAAAAAAAATCCTCCTTCAATGCTATATTTATGCTTCTAAAATAGGCAGAAGACTTCAAGGTATGGCTCTGCTCATTGCTAAAGGGGCAGGGAGGAGGGAGAAATGTTGGGAATCTATGGAGAAGAAGCAGCAATTTATATACCTCTGAAATGTTCAGATGTTTCTCTTTCCATCAGCAGGATGGGTATATAAGCACCAGTCCATTATATCTTTGTACTTAGATGAATGTAAGTACTATCATATATCTGCAAATATTCAACATATTTTAAACTCCTTTTTCAGGGAATATATCTAAGAATTTTTAGAAATACACCTAAGAACAGAGTATTTTGTATAAAAAGAAATTGTTGACTGGAGATGGAACACAAGCATGGTCTTGAATTTTTGAGAAACTAGTTATAATTTTCTGATTCCAGTTGTTTATAGTAATGTTATTCATAGTAGCACCATTTCCTGGTATATTTTCAGAATCAGGAAAGTAATTATTCATAAGGAAAGGAATAATTATGAATACCTACAGTTAAAATTTTTAATGAGTAAATTTGAGCACCTTCTGAATGAAACTTATTTTAGGGAGTAGACTTGTTTCTCAGTTACTATTCCATCACTTCTTTAACTCCTTAATGCAGAGAATTGACAAAAAACAATACCAAACAGAATTCCATTTTGCTGTTGGAGCAGATTTCTTCACTGTGTGGCAAGGTATAGAAGCTGGGGTTTTCTTTTGTTTTGTTTAACATTAAAGAATATATGAGAAAAGGGAATGTAGTTTGTTAATCTGTTTTTGCATGATGGTTTGGTTTTTTAAATATAACATGTAATTTTGGTTCTAATTCATATTAAGATACTCTGGACTTTTCATAGTAACTCCAAATTCCTCCACAGACATATAGTGATGTTTTGTTTTTAGAAGAGATTTTTAAAAATAACCTTCATGATGGGTAATTGCTTTAAAGTTTTAAAATTATAGAACCTATTAGATTATTAGATTATTGTTAACTTACTCCTTCAACATCTGATTTCAATTCTGTGAGAAGGTATTCATTTGCTTGTATTACCTTTATCATGGTAGGAAAGGTGGGTGGAAGTGAGAAATTTTTCTAAAGCTTCACTGAATTATCATTTATAAGTTTTTGGTTTTTCTTAATTCTGGTGATGTTTATGAGATTTGTAGGTATTTCAGTAGTTTTATATATACTAGAATAAAAGTGGTATACTTAAAATTTTTTAAATTATAACATGAATTTTAAGTGAAATCATCTATTTGAAGTCAAGTACACTTTTTAACAGAAAAAACTTAAAGTTTGCTTTTCTTACATTTCTAAAATAACAGGCAAAATACAGCTTTCAGAGTTGTATTTTGTCTTAAACAATGCTTAATCAAACTGGGAATTTACCTAAATATATTATAGTGATTTTGGGGGGAACAAATTTATAATAAACATCTGTATACCCAGCCCCAGCAGTACAAAGATGAATATGTTGAGTTTACTCATAAGTCAGTCAGAAGCTGCTGTATGTTTTCTGACATATGAGTCATGGTTTCCCTTCATTTTTACCTATTAGCATTAAATCTCAGATTTCTAGGAACAAAGGCTTTGAAATTAACTTCAAATGTATTCTAATTTTGAAGCCAGAACAATAATCCATCCAGTCAAAAGGTTATAAAATTATGATTATGATAAAATCTTATGATGATAGAAATCACCAGTGTCTCACTAGTTTGCAGATATACAAAGCAATTATACCCAAAATCTGAAATTGAAGAAAATATTGTGAATATCAGGAGTTTTAGGGATAGATAACTCAGCAGAAAAGGGATGCCTAAGCTTTGAATGTCTATTTTGTCTGTTGTTTTTTTGGCAGAGGTGGGGGCATTGTTCTTGTTTTTTTAGTTTTTATAGTGGGGTTGTTGGGTGAGAACATTAGTAAATAAATGCTATAGAGGTGAAATCTGAATGTCAAAAAATTGTCAGATGACAATCTTTAAGAATTAATCAGCATGCATTCACTAAAAATATATTCTGTTTTATCCAGGTTGGTGCTCTTTTTGTTTTGCCATGTACTGTTAGTAACATGCTTATTCCACCTCCCAACCAACTCAGTTCAAGAAAATGGAAGGAATACATAGCTAAGAAGCCTAGGACAATCAGTGGTGAGTCGTAAATCTTTAAGTTGTCTTAATGGTGCAACTTAAATAATGTATTTTTCAAATTTGAATAGGAGATAACATTTCTTATGAGAAAATAATATTTATTTCTACTGATTAAAAAGGACCCACATAAGACATTTTTATTCTAACACAAAGTCTACTGTAACATAAAGTATATACAATCTTATTCATTAAAGAAATATCAGTGATCTAAAGGCAGTGCTTTTAGTACATTAGATGGCTAGTTATATTGAACATGGGTTTCTTAGAGACATTTCAGAAATGAAATTTGGGAAAATAAAGTGACTAATTCATTATGTGGTACATTAAAAAAAGCAAACTTGTGATTATGATTTTCTGCAAAAAATAGAATTTATTTACAGCTTAATGATATGCCGTGCAGTGTTCTACATACTTTAGAAATATTGATTCATTCAGTTTTTACAATAGCCCTGTAAATATATTTTATACCCATTTAACAGATGAGAAAATTGGGGTTTGGAGAAGTCATGGAGCTAGTAATTGGTAGAATCTTGGTTAAATCCTGGCTCTGCCAGTTCATAGCTTTGTAAATTCTCTGGGGATCTGAACCCAGGCTCTGTGCTCTTAACCACTGTAGTATATTGCCCTTCCAAAAATCTGTTACATTCAAGATGTCATTATAAAAGTAAAATCCTAATACCTGTTATAAAATTGGATTATCTTAAAAACTCAAACTCTAGTATTTCATGAGGTAATTGCAGCTCAAAATGTTAGAGTTACTTGCCCAGAGTCACATAGCTGAAGTGTTTTCTTCTTACTTTGCTTCAGTCTAAGTACTTTTTTTTTAATTGGACAATAATTTGCTTAAATTATTTTTGAGCTTATGGTTAACTTTTCTGCCCCCATGTTATGGGACTAAGAGCTGAAACTGAAACTTATCTACCTAGATTGTTTTAGAAGAAATCTCTAGAAATACTCCAGAGCTGAGAATTCTGAGGAATATAATTTTAAAATCAGTGGTTTACACAGTACTATCTAGGAAATAGGAGAGATACTGGAATTCATTTTAACAAATGGTTAGTTTGAAGTGCAGATGATATGTATATGGAAATGTACATCTAGTATTTATCTATCTCTGGAGAGTGGTCAGAGTTTGAGACTGAGATTTTGTGTTTACCAGCTGTTTTGTTTATCTATTCCAAACTACCTAAAACTGAGTCACAAAGCACACACTTTATTTACTCATGGCTCTGCAATTTGAGCTAGGCTCAGCTGAGTGGTTCCTGTACAAGTCCCACCCGTGGTCATCAGTGTGGCTGCACTGACTTGTGAATTGTTACAGGTTTGGCTCAGCTGGCATGCAAGGACAGCTATCTTTCTCTCTCTGTATAGTTACAGAGTCTTTTCCTTACCATATACTTCTTCATGAGATCCTTGTAGCATGTTACCTGGACTTTTTACATGGTGGCTCACAGCTCTCAAACATACAAAGTTGAAGCTGCCAGGACTTTTTAAGGCTTAGTTCTAGAACTGGCTCAATGTCACTTCTACTGTGTTATATTATTTAAAGCTAGTCACAAGAATGACCAGATTCAAGGGGGAGGTGACTTTATGAGGATGTGAATACTGGGAAGCCACCAGTGTAAAAGGCTCCTGTAGCTCCAGGGGTAAGGGTGTTCCCGGCCTGGGGTGAATCCCCTGTGAAACTGGTGAAACCAAAGTCAGGGGAAAGGATAGGCTGGGAGAAACCATTTTTTATGCTCATGACTTACTCAGATCTGTTCGCTAGGTCTGGACCTGTCTGTCTCCTCTGGCCGCTGCTCACACTCTGCCCTCACAGGGTGCTCTCTACTTCCTGCCTGCCCCTTCTGGGAGGAACTCCTTTGCTGGGTCCTTCGTGACTGATAGATGCCAGACTGATTATGTACCAGGAATGGAGGGGAGGAGAGAATGGCCTTTACCTACCCCTTGCCCTGGAGGCTGCAGTGGTAAACACCTATTGATATATAAATGGACTAAGGCTAGGCAGGAGATTCTGGAAATTCTTCAGTTTACGCCACAGGTACCATGAGTGTATATAGGGAATAGTTGAAGCCTTAGGAGTGGTTGAAGAAAAACACATAAAACAGCATGTCTAGAGAAGAGAGCCAAAGATAGGGTCTTTAAAAATACCTGAATTTAAGGTGAAAGTGGAAGAAAAGTTAGGAAATGATTTAGTAAGTTGTAGTTTGAAGACCCTAGAGAGTTATGATCATTAATGTCAACATCAAAATATCATTTGTTGTGTGATATACAGATGTGCAAGGTGTAGGAAATAAGGGGAGTCAAACTAGGTCCATCACTCTTGAGGAAGTAGATGCATGATCCTTTTCCTTGTGAAATTTGTAGTCAAGTGAGGAAGGCATTTTGGTACATTTTTACAGATCCACTTAACTGACACTGTGAAGGTGAGTGGAGGATACTTCCAGAGTGTGTGATCTAAGATAGCCTGAAGAGTTCAGGAAGTTTTCCTGGAAGAAGACACATTGTTAATATGGTTTGTTACACAGTACTAGTACAGGAGGAAATGCAGGCAGAACCCTTTTCAGCTCCTCACAGGGAATAAATGTATGTATACCTGGTGATTTTGGCAGATACCAAAATAAATCAGAAATAGATTTGTAGGGTGGCAGTAGTGTCTGTTTCACTTAAACTACATGAAATCATGGGATAATATTTATCCATTTTTTAATATTACATATGTTTAAGAATTATTCATATGAATTGAATATTAACATCTCCTAACTAAACTTGATTATATTCTGGATAACCCATTATTTTTACTTTTGTAACTTTTTCCAAAGTAATTGATTGATTTGGAATTTATTCTTAAGTGTTTTTTTTCCCCATGATTTTCATTTTAATGTTAAGAAATACCTTATTGTGTGGCTGGATTTGGTTCTTTAAATTATCACCTCTTGAAAGTTGGGGATTAATATTGGTAACTTCTGAATAAGACATAATCACATGACAATCTTTGAAGCCAGATTGTTGATAACTGATTAGGCTGTATCATTAAAGGTTGATTAAGCTGACATTTAACAGTTTTGTTTTTTGTCTTAGATGTAGAAATAATCAAATTGGACAGTTGATTATTAAATTCTTCTTGACCCATAGCCTTTCTGTAGGGGAAATTCTTTATGCCATTGACAGAACTCATTTTTTTAAAAAAAGTAGCCAAATGTCAGCTAGTATAAAAGTTTTAATTGTTCTTATAAAGGAAAACTTCCTGTCTCATTCATAGTGCCACTACAATAGCCTCTTTAACTGTCCCAGATACCAACTATCAGATCAGCCTCCTAAATTGAAACTATTTCCCTATAACCTAAAGCATTATGCCTAACTATTCTCTACTGTTGCCCTACATGTTTCATATCCTTCAAAGTAAACTTTATACTGTTTCCTAAAACTGTTCCCTTATTTTATTCTTCTTTGACTTTGTTATTCATTCCTTCATTCTGTCAGACCTTTCATTTATTTTTCTGAAGACTGAATTGATACTATGTATCAGGCATGGTCCTATAACCTAGGGATTAGTGATGAGCAAGACAGACCTGGCTCCTCTCTTGGAATTTATACTGTAATATATAAAGTAGACACTGAGAAATAATATCATTGTATTCAGTAGCAACCAACTAGAATCAATCCCCAAGTCATATTATATTGAAGAGCAAGGTGTTTTGCCTAAGGGTTTCAGCCCTGGGAAAGTACACTATGGATTTGGTGAGACTGACAAATGACAGTGGAACATTCTTGTGGTAAAAGGGTTTATACCTGGCTTTATTCTCACAGTGGTAAATTGAGCACTAGAATCATGTCTGCATCCAACAATCTGCAGTTCTGTAATCCATCTCTGTCTCTTGTCTTTGCCTCTGCCCAAGAACTGGGTGGAGCTCTTTATATAGTGACTTAGTCAATAATAGCTCATTGCCTACAGGTATGGAAGCATTAGCCCTAGTAAGCCAATTACATCATTAAGTAGTTTAGGGTCAGGTGAGGATCCTGGTCATTAGGAACTTCCATTTTCCCCACAAAGGTGTGCAAAGGTTATAATGCTACCATCTGTGGTAAAAACAACTCAGTGTATGTGTGTAAACATTTATACATTTTTGCATATGCATTACATATTCAATTTCCTAACATTTTTATTGAGCACCTACAATATAGTAGACACTGTTGCACATGCTGAACTAGAAGTAAATACAACAAAGTCCTTACCCTCAGGGAGCTTGCTTACATGATAGTGGAGTATCTTGCCAGTGGATTTCAGCCCCAGGCAAGTTCACTATGGATTCAATGAGACCAAAGAAATGCAGTGGAATGTTTTTGGGGTGAAAGGGTTTATACCCAACTTTATTCCCACGATGGCAGGTCAATCACTAGAATCCTGTCCACTCAGAGTGAGTCTGCATGCAGCAAGCTGGTCTCTGCCTCTGGGCCTCTCTACCCTCCACAGCCTTCTCAATCTCTGTCCTCAGTGCTGCCACCACTCCAGTCTCATCTCTGTTCTCCTGCAGGCTTACAGCCGTGCCACTGTGTCTCTCAGAGCACTGGGTGGAGATCTTTATAGAGAGTCAATAATAATGTATTGCCCACACATGTGTAGTAAGCTAGCTGACCAGGGCCAGGTGAAATTCCTGGACAGAGGAACCTTCACTTTATCCACAGGGAGGTAATAGGTTTAGTTGTTCTCCCCAGTGTAACTCTGGGGAGAAAATCCCAGGCCAAAATACCTTTGAAACCAAAATCAGTCAAAGAGAGAAATAAAGTGGGAGAAAACATGTATTACTTACAAGCAGTCATCCACTTCTGCTTGCCTGTGTCTCTTGTGACCCAGCTGCAAAAGAAGGGGCCCCACCCAACTTCTCTAGTCTAGATATGCTCTCTCTTGCCCTTGTAATTACCTATGGAGATAGACTACTTCTTTCCACCCCTTGGAAATACCTATTGATATGGAGATGCGTTAAGGCCAGGTGAGAGAG